CGTGACTAAATGACGTGGTTAGTTACGTACGAACAAGCTTAAGTAAGGAGGAAGACTAAAGGTCTGAGCGTTCGTACGAGTAACAACTATAAAAGGAGGGCCCTCTAGATAGTTCTTTTCTGTATCTTTCTTCTTCTGTACAATAGGTGAATGCATACTCGTTAGTTAGGCCTCTCTCGCCCATAACAGAGGGTGCTATCTTTAAATAAAAGTTCTATTTACTTAAAGTAGTAAAAATATAAAGTAAGTAAGTACTAAGTAGAGTTTATTTTATTAGCGCTATACTAATAAAATATAACCTCTATTTATATAATCTAAAGTTCTATTTTACTAAATACAGCGCTGTTTCTAACTTTGTTTTAAAAATCTAGTACTATTTGGGCGTCTGGAGTTTTACTGAACCGGCCCTCAGTGGAGATAGCAATCAATTCGAAGCAGAATACATCTATTTTAGTCTATCATGGCTCTATACTTCTAACAAGCTCTTGACTTCCTTCACAAGCATCCGGTCTTCCGCCATCTTTGCGTCAACATTACCCAAAGTACCAGCTGCATCCATGACCCGCCACAAGTCCCTCACCTCGCCACTCATATCAGCGCAGTATACCAGCCAACCAACACTGATCACGCCCATCTTTTTGTTGTCACTCCATTGCTCCTCGGTACTAATGTTCTCCAGTAGCGAGGCGAGAAGCTCTACCTGCTCCGAATCTGGAAGTTCAGATGCTGATGGAAGAGAGTGCGAGGGGTTGGCGCTGTACTGCTTCATCCTTATTTGGTGGTTGGAAGAGGTGATGTTCATGGCCAGGGTGAGTGCCGAGGCTTTAAGTGCTGAGTGCTTCTCGTCGAGAAGGGCAGTGGTTAGGATGGAAATCAGAGTCGAAGAGAGTGGAGGAGAGAGAATGTGAGGTATGAACAGCGGTGCGCTGAAGAGGTTACATGCTAGGTGCAAGGTTGTGAGTCGGAGTGGGTACGGCGCGCCCTCACCGAGTTTGTCGACGTGGTCGAGCAGATGGAACACCGTCGCTGGCGTGCCCATTGCGCCTTTGTGTTCCTCTGCAAAAAATCCAGCAACACGGGCGTCGGTGATAGCTATCCTGAGCAAATCCAAAGCGGTGAACAGGAGCTCGGCTGGGAGAGAGTAAGTACTTTTCCTCAAGAACTCGGCGAACTTTGGGAGTTCAGTCAACGGTGCCTCGATAGCCCCCGACTTTTCGCGAACTTGGATGTAGTTGACGATAGCTGTCACCGAAGGATCGTTTCCGGCATCTCCCATCTTTGCAACCACCTTTTCCAATGGCGGGACCTTTGTGAACCTAACAGGCCTTTGGCTCTGTCGCATCAACCAAGGTGTGCTCTTGTCGAGATGCGGATGCGGTGGGAATGTCGCATTAAGCAGCATCTCCACGTTATTACGCAGCTGTCTTGGGTCGGCTCCGCTCCACTCGTCTCGTTGTTCTCCTCTCACATATGTGATGAATGTCGGGGTTGCGCGTACATTGGGATAGCGCGTATTGATTGAGCGATCAGCGTGGCTGAAATCAATCTTGATGAACACACATTTTGTCCCTGCTTCAGCGGCTAGATCGTCGAACGGCTGGTACACAAGCTTGCAAGGAGCGCATGTGGAGCTTGTGAAGAAGATGATTGCGCAGCGGTCTTTCGCAAGGCCCAGCAAGCGATTTAGATCCTGTAGCGAAGTAATGTTGTTTACCACGCCCGTACTCATTTCCAGCTCAGTCTTGGTGCCACGAGAAGGACCTGCTGTGCCGTTTGATGTACCAGCACTCGTGGGGTATACTTGGCCTGCCTGAGGTGTAGGTGCCTGCACGATGGGTCGCATAGCGGCATCAATCTGCGGTTTCAGCATTTGGCCAAACGGTGTATTGAGAACCGTCTGCGGAAGGGAGGTGATGTGATCTGGTATTCCTTCGCCAACCAGAAACATGGCGAAGTCGTTTGAGAAGTTGTTACAATTATGCGCAAAAAGATCGTATGACTAGAAGCGCGTTAGCCTCGGAAGTCATAGCCATGCTTCAAAATCACTCGCCTCGGGTGTGTAAACCGCCCTCAAAGACTCTAGGTACTCGAGTATAACCTCCATGGGAAGCGCAGTTTGTCCGAGCTTTATGGTTTCAATGGGCTGGCCATGGTGCGTCGCTCCTGCTCTACACGTCTGTATCCCGTGCCCAAAGTAGTATTCTATGCCGCCAAAGACGATGGATGTATGGTATATGGCGTCGATTTGTATTCCAAGAAACGACTGCGACATGCTTTTTGCCAGACCCTAGCATCGTCAGCACGAGTACTCGGCGCAACAGGCTTCTCTCCATGCGCTGCACATGCTTCTCGGGACGCACCGACTGGAACATGACGCGGCGCAGCTAGGACTTACTTGCGAAAGGTCGTACACATATAGCTCCACGTCCATAGTGGTGTTTTGCGCGCGCACGACGATATCGCGCGATGATGTGCCGTTCAACAGGTCTATTTGTGCTACAATTTCGGGATGAGCACCAGCTGTGTATGTACCAGAACGTGATGATCACCAAGCCTCGGGCGTCGGAGTCGCGGTGTTGTTGAGTCGTTAGGCGGCAGCCGTGACGTAAAAGACGGTTCGCGAAGGCGCCCGCCCGCCGCATCGCGCCGGCACGTGACTAGCGCCCAACGCGGAATCACGCCGCTCCTATGCACGCACGCGACACGCGAACCGCGCCGCTATGCATACTTCAGGTATTGGCTCGAACTTCTTCGGCGCAACACATTTATTGGGGAGTCTACCTTGGAGGAAGTTGATGGACAGCGCCATACACGCCTTCCACGATTGCGGACAACATCCCGGGCCTCCCGAACCAGCTTCAGCAGTCCACGTTGACAATGGCCGCACTACTCCATGGAACCTCCACCTCCAGCATGCCACGTCCGTCTACGCGCACTTTTTCCCCACGAGTAACATTTTCCAATCTAACGGGCTTTCCCTCATCCAGCTCATAGTTGTAGCTGTAGCCATCCCAAGTAATACCCGTGATCGCGTCGCTTCCATTTGCCATCAGCCGTTGGACGCGAGCACTACCCTTCGCGCAAGTCGGCAACGTGAACGTATACTTTCCGACGGGTCGCGCAAATGGCGTGGTGAAGCCATTGTCAGTCGTGTTGTACGTATGGAGATCGACAAGCAACAGCCGGCGCAAAGTATTGTTAACATACACAGCATACTGTGTGGAGAACTCAGTGGACGAGTCAAGATGCGAGATGCGCACCTCGCCTGAAGACGAAGATCCATGCATGAAGGCTGCGACGGCCGCGTTGCCGTAGTAGGGTGGCTTTGTGCCTCTGACCGTGAGGTTCGTTTGGATGGGCTGCCACGATTGGTAGCTTTGCGTTTGCCGTCAGCTCAACCCTAGGAATAAATTGGGTATGAGAGATGTACGTACCGGTAGTTCGTCCCCTGATGCATATGAGAGCGACTGATGTTCTACGATGCGATGTACACATTCCAGTCGACACCCCATAATGCCGCTCCAAAGCTGTTACTCAACCCTGGCCGTCCTTGCCTAGCGAGCGAGTTGTGTTCGCCCAGAATGAAGGGTGTGCTTGGAGACGGCGCATTCTCAGATGCTCTAATACCTCTCGAAACATTGACCTGCTCCGCAGCCTTTGCGACGATGTTCGTGTGGTTCATCAAGGTGCCTTGCAGCGTGATGCCGAGGCTAGTAGAGACACCCATGTAGTTATGCGAAGAAATAATCTCTATGTTCTTCTTCTCGTCTATGCCTTTCCTCCACGAGTCGACAGGGCTCAAGGTGAAGTAGTCGTTAATACCAATACCCGCGAAACTTGGCGCCATAAACTTGGTCTCTGCAAGATCTGGACATGCTGCTTTGACGGCTTCTTCAATGGCATTCGTTCCGTTGAGCCATTCCGACACATAGTCTGCATCACTCCAGCCGCGCGGGCGATATCCAGAAGCTGTGAAGAGATCGGGCTCGTTGCCGTACTCCCAGAGTAGGAGGTTTGGGCCGATAGCTTTGCAGGCATAAGAAGCAGAATCCCAGGTTGCAGCTCTCGCGGCGCTCGAATTAGCGCCCATGTTGAAGCCATGGCTGAACCTCACGCCTTGGGGCATAGTCTGGTACGATTCGAAGAAAGCCGGGCCAATAGTAATGATAGTCGGGTAGTCGGCTGAAACATTTGGTTGAATGATACCCACCAAGCCAGTCTCTTGGGACGCGTCAAAGATTGCGATATCCCTGTGTCTCGTATCAGCCTTGCATGCATTGCCAAGTGAAGAAGGTGCGAGTTACTGAATATTGCCTCCCACGCGGGCAATCGGCATCGATCCTTGTAGTTTGCCCAAGTTGGTCATAAGGTTAGCCGAGAAAGTGTTTGGGTGCGATAGGTTTCCTAAACAATACACCGATCAATACAAGCTGCATTTTGCGGAGACCAGCGCTAAGATTACCGGCAAAGTCGGGCCATGAGGACAGCTCGAAGGAAAAAGAAACGAACGACTCGAGGGGAACGCCAGCATCGTTTGGCGCGGACTTTGGAACATAGATTGGCTTGGGATTTCGCCGTATACGCGTAGCCTCTGCGGTGAAGAAAGCCGAGAGGCATAGCAAGAGTGAGCGGTGTACGCGTGACAGCATCTTGTCGGCGTGATACTGTACCCGCCATGTGGCATGCGACGTTTATACATGTCGTCGGCAACCGAGCCTCGACCTGATCAGCGGCACGGCGCGCGCGGCGTCCAAACAATCGCGTGTTCCTTTTTCCCTGACGCGTGCCTCATCCGAAGAGATCTGCACGTGACGAGCGGGGAAGCGGGGAAGCGGGGTAAGCACAGGGGCAAGGGGCTGTTCGTCGGCGTCATACCGCGCATCACCCGCTCGTTGCCCAACCACCAAGACGCTCCATCAACCAAAACGAGGCGGGACCCGATTTTGCAGCGGGAAGTGGCATGTTCCCTCGGGACATGCCTGAAGCGAGCCTCCACTTCCCGTCCCGTCGACTACGCCCTACGACCTTGGAGGTGGCGGTTTTCGTCTTCCGGAATACGGCGGCGCATCGAGAACCTTGTTACGCCGTAATGCCGAGGTAGACGCGTCGATGCAATCTGTGCACGACAGGATTTTCGTCATTCACGTGACGGAATGGCCGTGGAACGCCCGGTTGGCTGACAGTCAGCGCAAGAGCTCTATACAGGGGCTGGGAGCGGCCATGCGTAGCGGTGACGCACTTGGAAAAAGTCTAGTGCTGGCTTCTTCCTTACAGCAGACCGTTTCCCTCCACCTATGGCGACCACGACCATTCTTCAACCCCACCTACGCAATATATACGCCCTGCTGCGTCGCTAAACCCGCATGAGATTGACGGCTGGGCGTCATGCACTGATAGATTGGTCCCACGCACCGCCATGAAGACTGCCGTCTCTACTTGGTTTTCTAGCGCTTTGCCACGGAAGGTGTGTGGCTCGTACATCGATGAGCTTTTTTACTACGTCATGGCTGCTTGTGGGTTTCACCCCTTGGGCGCTGGGTAGATACTGGGTGACAATGACATTACGCTCCCCACGTTCGTCCCTGCAGGCTTCCCGCGCGAACCGACCGTTCACCGATCAGATATAGATGAAGTGCCTCAATCGTGTCAAACTATTCGTCAAGTGTTGAAGTGAGCATCCATACTGTTGGCTACCACATCCTGCACCATGTGTGCACTGCAGTGCTTGCTTATCGCATACCACATGCCTCTTGCGACATATCTGCAGCATGCATCTGTTCATGGCTAATGCAACACTGTCATATGAGAAACTTGGGCTGTTTTTGCCGTCAAAAAAAAACTCATATAGCCTGTTTCTTGACCGTCTTGCCTCCCAGCTTCGCGTCTCCCCCTTCACCCTTTTTGCACCAACAGCTATACAATGGCCTCACCTTTTACTCCTCAAATCGGTCTTGCTCTTGCGGTCTTCGCATTCTGCCTCGTCGTTCGACATGCGCTCGCCAAGAAGAATAGGCTGCCACTTCCCCCAGGCCCCAAAGGTCTTCCAGTCGTGGGTAACATCAAAGACATGCCCAAGCCAGCCGATCGCGAATGGCTACATTGGATCAAGCACAAGGACGCTTATGGCCCGATTAGCTCCCTCCACGTTCTCGGCCAAACATTTATAATTGTAAACGATGCAGATATCTCCATGAAGCTGCTCAAGGACCGCGCCTCCATCTACTCGGGAAGACCTAGACAGATCTTCGGCGGTGACATGTAAATCTGCCTTGAACCCATATATCATAGCAGTGTCGTGAAGCTAATGCCATCAGGGTCGGATGGACGAACATGCTGGCTTTCCTGCAACCAGGCTGGGACTTTCGACAACATCGTCGCAATCTCGCAAAGATTGGTGGCTCCAACACGTCCCTCGCGGCCTTTGACCGCATCCAAAATGAAGAAGCAGCACATTTTTTGCTGAATGTTCTGGATAGCCCTGAGAATCTTTTCGATCACATCCGAACAGAAGCTGGGGCTGTGATATTGAGAATCACATATGGGTACACCCCGAATGCAAGAGGTCGAGATCCGCTGGTTGACATGGCTGAGCAAGCAATGTCAGACTTCTCTATCGCGAGCGTACCGGGGAAATGGACTGTTGATCTACTACCATTTCGTCAGTCAAAATATCCCAAGCATATACTCGTCCAATACTGACATTGTGCCCAGTGCGCTATCTACCCGACTGGTGTCCAGGCACTGGCTTTAAAGCTACCGCGCGTGAAATGAGAAAGACGTTTATGCGCAGTGCGGAGCAGCCCTATGCGTGGGTGAAAGAGCAGATGCGCAATAAAAAAGCAAAGACGTCCTTCATGTCGCAGGCGATTGAATCGCTCGGTACAGAAGCCTCAATGGAGCACGTCCACAAGTGGTCCTCGGTTTCCATGTACTTGGGTGGCTCGGATACGTCTGTATCGGCCATCATGACCTTCTTCATGGCCATGGCTGTTTTCCCAGACATCCAGAAGAAAGCGCAGGAAGAGCTGGACCACGTCATTGGAGGTGATCGACTGCCGGTTACCAGCGACAAGGCCAACTTACCATACATTGAGACAGTCGTCAAAGAGGCGCATCGCTGGCACCCTGTTGTACCCATGGGTGTGCCGCATTGCTGTATGGAAGAAGATAGCATCAGTGGCTACAGAATCCCAAAGGGAGCCATAGTTATACCAAACATCTGGTAAGTTTCCTGTGTTTTGCCTCACACTGGGGTTTCAGCGCACCTGATATGCTATAGGTGGTTCACCCACGACCCAGCTGTATATCCGGACCCCATGGCATTCAATCCTGACCGCTACTTCACGACGCCAACCCACACTGCTGAACCAGACCCTCGAAACTGGACATTCGGGTATGGCCGCCGAGTCTGCCCCGGTCGCTACATTGCTGACAACGCGCTCTTCACAACCATTGCGCAATCACTGGCAGTCTTCAACATCGAGAAACTGGTCGAAAATGGGAAGACAGTAGAGCCGAGGATTGAATTTGAGCCTGGTGTTGTGAGCCACCCGGTGCCATACCGTCTTAGTATCAAGCCAAAGAATGAGAAATGTCGCCAGCTGATCAAGCAAGCGGAGAACCTGTACCCCTGGGGTGAAAGCGACGCGCAGTCGTTAGAGAGTCTAAACTAGGGACTTGAAAGTACTCACGCTATACGCCAATTAGCGAAATAGTAAATAGGTAGGATATACCTATTGTAAGGTAGAGCTAGAGTTAAGGTAGTGAATATTAGGTGAAATTAAAGCGAACTTATTTTAGTTTACTAGCTATTGCTTGTTATATTAGCTATTCCTATAACGTACTACACCAGTGAGGCGGCCAAACCAGTGAGCCGGCCACTTTTTCTTAGCACTGCGAACACCATGTATAAACAATTAAATTACTTAACACTATAAAATAATCCTTTATATAAGACACTTGCATTAGATTTAGAATCTTCTACTATATCTTTTTAGTACGTACAAGCGTTGTGCCTAGTCTTACCGCAGTTGCTATAGCGCCGTTGACCTAGTTAGGCTAGTTCTTAACTACCACTACCACGCGCTCTCTTTGCTATCGTACGACCACTAGAAGCACTCTTAGCTACTATTAATGCTGCTGCACTATACTCTAATGTCCCGCTATGCTAGATCCGCTTTCGCTTTTAACCTTTGCGCTTTATAACCTCTACTAATTACTCTTGAAGCTCTTATATAGTTATAAGCTTTAATTAAAATATTCTTATATAGCATCTCTTCTACTCCTTTAACAAGCTTTAAGAAGCTTTCTTAAGCACTTATTAGTAATTATACAAAGGATTCCCTTATAAGCCTTAATTGCAATCTAAGTTTAAGTAGGTTACTTAGTGTTCTTAACTACTAGAGCGTTTCTAGGAGGGGTGCTAGTAATAGCGTACGAAGCTGCACCTTAAGGCAATCTATAACTACCTACGCGTTTATAGAGATAAGTCTTAAAGCCTTAAAGGCCTTCTTATAGTTATTTCACATAAACACGTTAAAAACGCGTATTTAAAGGCTGGAAGGAAGCCTTCTTTATTAATATAGTAGACGCATTAGCGTGCTAAATCTTATACGCGTTAAGAGTACTTTAATTTTAATAGTAAAAAACACACTATATTAAGTAGCTAAAGGATATATAATAAGTAAGAGGGCATATAGAGCGTAAGGATCTTATGTACAAGGCAGTATTCCTTAAAATCTTTATTAAGGTAGCTCTTGTGCCTATCTAAGATTAGCAGCCTATATAACCCCTTCTAACGC